AAGGTCGCTGCTGCTGCTGCGTGAACGGACTCCGTTTGTTCAGCCTCCGTTCACCGGAGAGTCTGACACACAGCGAGCCGCGGCTTCCGCTTCTTCTTCTCTGTTTTTTGGAGCATGTTTTGCAGGGCGCTTTTATGTCTCAGGGAAAAGTTTGTTTCTCTTTTTTTCTGTAATGCAGTCCACTTCTTCTCTTCTCCCCTCCGTGCGTGTGCGTGTGTCCGTGCTGTGGAGGTGTGATGTGACGGTGCTGGTTTTCCCCCCTCGTTGTGGTCCCGTCTCCCTCCTTCTGTCTGACCATCTTTGTGCTTCTTTAAATGTAATTTCCGTCCAGGTGGACTTTGGATCAGATTGGGTAAAACTTTAATAGCCCCCGCGGGGGGAGTCGGGTCTCCGCAGCGGCAGCAGGGAGAACAGGATCCAGCCATTTAGATAATAAGAGCAGCAGCGCGAGCCGCGGAGCTGAATAATTATGAGTGATTATAACAATGAACATATGGAGAAGGTGGAGGGGGGGAAAGTTTGGGCCTGGCATTAACGCCGGTAATCCGGGGTGTCTGTTCAGCCACTATTTATAGTTGTGGAGCATTTTTACGCACAAGCGCGTTTTTACGCGCAGTCGGTGAGAGTGCGCGGAGCCTCCGAGCTCACACTGAACCTCAGCTGTCTCCTGCCAAGGAGCCAGCGATGCTCCTAAACAGCTTAATGGATTTTAAGCAATAAGATTATGTAAAGTAATTAATAACAGTGTATGTGTGGGGGGCGCGCGTGCAGTGGGGATAATAGGCTGTGAACGGTCGACAAAACGAGGAAACCGAGCGCTATTAATAGGCTCGGCGGGCGGTTTTCCGGTCTAAGTGGAGAGCAGAAAGCCCCTGAAGGTGTTTGTGACGGTGTGCTTGCGGTCCCCGGGCCCGCAGGGCCGCTTTATTTTCGCTTTTCTGGCCGCTTTCCTCGCCTGCCATGTGTCGTCTTCTATTGTCCTTTCCAGCCTCCGTTACAACGAGCGGCCAGCAGCGTGCATCGCGCTCGCGGCCGCCGCCTCCTCCTCCTCCTCCTCCATCATCATCACCACCTCCCACCCCCCCTCCCCGCTCCTGCGCCCTACTGTGTTATTTTAAACGGAGCGGTGCATCCTGGGTATTGCAGTGCCTCTCCCGGGCGTGTCTCGTGACATATGGCGGCGATGGCAGCCCGCGAAGACTACAATACCCAGAGTGCCCTGGGGGCCACATGAAAGTATCAGATTACAACACATTAGAGGGATGGAGTGGGGGGAGGAGGAGGGGGGGTCTGCAGAGACCAATATGGTGTTTAAATAGGAAGCTTTCATTCTGACAGGGGAGGGCTGAAATGTGCAGCTCCCAGCATGCACTGGGACTCGTCTAACTAGGCCATTAGGTAGCAGGGCAGGTAGCAGCAGCCTGCAGAAGTTTCACTACAGCAGCTGCATCTCAAACTCTGATCATCTGTATTTTATAGTTGTTTTTTTTCTGATTCAAATTTTTTCCCTCTGGTTTGTTTCCATCAGGACCTGAAAGAGAAGAAGCTGGTGGAGGAGAAGGAGAACGGCAAAGATGCTGCCACCAACGGAAAGGTAACCTCCTCTTCCTCCTGGTACAGTGAGCTTGTGCCTGCACGGCTTCAGAAAGTCACTTTAAACACTATTTTTATTTCTTTTCTTCATCAGGAGAACGAGGAGAACGGCGAGCCCGAGGTAGATGATGAAGATGACGAGGAAGTGGATGAGGAGGACGAGGAAGATGATGGAGAAGGTAGCTAGAAGATTATTTTATCTTAATGATACAAATATTTTCCCAAATCTTGGCAAAAAATCTCATTCTTCTCGCCCTTCGTCCCGCAGGTGACGAGGAAGACGAGGAGGACGACGAGGATGAGATTGAGGGCGGCACAAAACGGGCGGCTGAAGATGACGACGACGAAGAGGTGAAGCGGCGAATCCAAGCTTTACCGCCAAGAATCTGAGCGACCAATCAGGTCTCACCATTTAACTAACTCTTCTTCTTCTTCTTCTTCTTCAGGACGACGTCGAAACCAAGAAGCAGAAAACCGACGATGACGATTGATGCGTTTTCCCCCCTCGCGCCATCCTGCTGAACCACTTCCTGATTCTTCCACCTATGACTGTTTTTTTTTTTTTCTATGTCACAGGTGGAGGGGCGGGAGGACTGATTTTAAAGGAGAAAAAATAATAATAATAAATAAAAAAATGTAAAAAAAATCCAACATGGTCATTAGCAAGTAGAGTTCAACAAACATCTACCACGTCCACCCCCCCACCCCCACCCCAACCCGCAAAACTGCAAAACAAATTTTCTAGAGGAACCTGCCACCGCATCGACGCAGAAATCCGGCTTCACAACAACAACAACACGAAAGGAGAATTTGTTTGTATTTTTATTTACATTTTATATTTTTGTACATATTGTTAGGAGCAGGGGGAGGGGGGGCCAGCTCCCCTCCTCGGCAGCGATCTCGTCAGACCAAATCGGTGCTTCTTCAACGAAATATTTTACTTGGTTGACCATGTTACGATATCTCAACAGATACTAGGAAGAAAAAAAACAACCTGTAAAAACAGTTTTAAAAAAACCTGAACGAAAACCTCTTAAGCCGTTGAACTCAGAGCATTCCAGTAAATTTAATGTATGTACTTTAGCTGTACCATAACTAGTTTGTTTGTATGGGAGGGTAAGGCCAAAGAAAAGAGCCTCTTTTCTTTTTCCTTTTTATTTTGTTTTTGTCAGCGACTTATTTTGTTTTATGGCGGCCTGTTTTGATGTATGTGCGAAGTTTGTGTTTGACAATAAACCGGACTTTTATTTTGTGAGTTGTACTTCTGTATCTCTGCTTGTTTTGTTTGTTTTTTTTTTCTTCTGCTCAGCGGCCGACACCACGAAGAACTTTCAGGAGGAGGTGAACTCGCAGGCGTTTCTATTAGCTTTCCAGGCCTCAGGTCAGCGCAGTTGGAAAGAAAGTAAATACAATTGTGAGGTGCTTGTACTCAAGTATTTCCCTTTGTAAAACCCCATTCCAGAGGGAATAATATTATTATAACTGCATTTATTCACAGCTACAGGATCTGGTTACTCAAATAACATTTAACACCAGAATCTATTCATTTCACAGTTTGCTAATGACATTAAATGAATAGAAATAATAAAAAGTTGGCAATTAGAAAAAATAAATTGGAATTAGTGGAAATATTTGCAGTATTTTAAGTGTAATGAATAAGCTGTAATAATAATAATGAATGTCGATAATGTTGAGTGATGGAATCCTTAAAAACTGCAGTACTGAGACATAATAAACCAAATATCGTACATTAGTTGAGTTTTTGCACGTTCAGGTCCAGTTAATGACTAAAGAGTCTGAGAGTCTGACTCTGAGGGAGGAGTTACAGAATCTGTGGTGCATTTTGGAGGGATGAACCTGGGGGTCGGGGCCCCACAAGAGGTCGCAAGATAACCGGAGAGAAGCAGGAAAACTTACTTTTCCTCCATTGTTTTCTTTTATCTTTTAAATGATCTAATTTAAGTTCTGCAGGACGGTTGAAATAACACAGGTCAGAGGTAGACAGCAGTAACGTCTCCATTAAACTCCCTACCAGTAGAAATACTTCAGAGGTAGGTATTGTACCAATTCACTCCTCCACAGTTCTGTAACAGCTGTAGGAACCCTTGCAGTTTTAGGAATTTTCACAAAGCGTTATGAGAACAGTGTTTAAAATATGTTATAGTATTCTATAACATATTTTAAACACTGTTCTCATAACTTGTGAATTTGGATCCTCACAAGGTGTCGCAAGACAAATCTGACGGCTGAGAAAAGATTATTAAGAGAGGACAGAAGAAGAAAAACGTCCTACGCAAAATCTTTATATTTTAATCCAAAGTTTTTAAAAGGAAAATATCGAGTTATTTATTAAACAGCCTCAAAGTAACAAGTGATCGCCAAAAATAGTTTATAGCAACGACCAAAAAGCCGATTACTCAAGCAGACATCACTTTGTTTTAGAGGTCACATGATGAAAAGGTCGTGAAGAAGTGGATTAAAATCCCCTAATAATCTCAAGCAGCTCCAACATTGATCAGTTTTAACAATCTGAGAATGAAAAACATGATAACAAAACAGTGACAGGTCATCCTGCTGCACAGGGACTACTACTATTTTATACTTCACAACCTTTATGATAATACTTCTGATTTGTACTGAAGTAGTATTTTTGAATGCAGTATTTGTACGCTGTTGTATACTGTAGGTACTTCAACTTGATCTGAGGACACCGTTGGACCTCACAGGACGGCGACAGTTAACAGCTGTCTAATAAACCAGGTGGTGAAAGTTTATTGAGACTAAGTTTATCTCAGAGTTTAAACACGGAGCAGTGAAACAGTGAAGAGCAGCGTGCAGAAGACAAAGAGCAGGAACTTCACCATAAACTTCAAAAATGTCTGTTTCCAGGTCAACATACGTTTACTTTACGACTTCCCAGTCAATCTTCGATACGGACATCGGATTCATTTTATTCTGTGTTTGTAAACTAAAACGGAGTTGGTGTGGAAGGGGCCTAAATCACAGGATCAGTTGTGAAGTACTTAAACGCCTTTTTAATATGTGGTCCGCGTTGTCAAATGGTCGCAGGTTGGTTAGGAAAAGACTGCGGTTTGGGTTAAAGCGAGTCACGTATGTAACTTTTGGTTTCAGACGACGGATGGGGTTCATTAAGTTACTTAAAGCCCAGGGCGTCTCATGTGGACGCTGAAGGGTACCTTGTGCATCAAATAGCGATATTTTGTCAAGCTTTGTCAGTGTCGGTATTTGACGCCCTGGGAGGAGACTGGGTTTTTACGTCTAAACCAAACCAAACTATGACCGTTTCATGTTTACCATGGTTTAACGTCATGTGACCTACGTAAGTTTGGATGTTGTATGCAAGTATGTTTTGCATTTCGTCAATACAGTGAATACGTACGAAGAAGGAGCACCTGAATGCACCATGAGCTGTTGGTTGCAATTCACAGCCCTCACCACTAGATGCCACTAAAACTTACACACTGACCCTTAAAGGTCAGCTTGTCGCTGGTTACTTTCCATCGCTCTTATTTGTCGTTTTAAGGACAATTAACAATCAACCTATTTTATTGTTTAAGTATGAGGACGTGTTGGTAAATGACAGCGAGCTGAGCCTGCAGCTCAGTGACAGATAGACCGCTTGGTGTTCTGTGTTAATTAAGTTAAATCAATGAAATGTCAGTGAGTCAGGCGGGCCGTGCTGGGGGCGTGGCTGAGGCGGTGACTGTAACGGCTCGTTTAAACAGTTGCTGAATACGGGCTGTGTGCTTTTTTTAAATTCAAAAAGCACCCAGACCTGCTCTGTAACCAAAACCGGCTTTGATCAAACAATACGAGCTGGTAAACGTGGATCCAGAGCAGAGACGCTGGTCGCTGGTTTCCAGTCTGCCGTCAGCCCGAGACAAACATGACGGAGCCTGAACGAGTGTAGGAGGATCTGATCTCTGTTCGGTCATGTCAGCTGCAGCCTGCAGGGCCCGACGCTCAGAGAGGAAGCCCACATACAGGAATGTAAAAGACACTTCATCACACACAGGGTGAACGCTGGGCGACGTGTCGGGGCCTCACTTTACTCACATGGGTTACTGACACTCAGCCAGGTGAACGGGGGGAGCATTTAGGTGTTATAACAATTTTAAAATATGTATATAATTTTTAATATTATTGGAATATAAATTTTAGTATTAAGTATTTATTTGTAAGAATAAGTACAGGAATTTTTATTATTGTTTTTTTGTTATTTATCATCAATTTAACAATTTTTATAATTAAAAATATATGTATTTTTGACATTTAGGACTTTGTGGGAAAGTATTTATTTATAGTAAGTTTATTTAGTTATAGTAAGTACAGGAATATGTATTATTGTATTTTTCTTAAATTTAAATTTAACTATATTAAAACATACATATAGTGTTTTGATATTTAGGGATTATTTGGAATATATATATTTAAAGTATTTTTTCTTAAGTATTTATTTGTAAGTATAAGTACAGGAATTTGTTATTTATCATAGAAATTTAACAATATTTTAAAATACATTTAAAAATATATATTTTTGACATTTAGGACGTATATATTTTTTAATATAATAAGTATTTATTTATAGGTATAAGTACAGGAATATGTGTTATTGTTTTAAATTTAACAATATTTAGAAAGATTTATTTAGGGATATTTTTTGGAATAGATATATTTAAAGTATTTATTAGTAAATATAAGTACTGACATTTTTATTATTCTCTGTTATTTATCATAGAACTCTAACAATATTAAAAAATATTAAAAAAACCCATTATCTATAATTTTTTAATATTTTTGGAATATATATTTGTTAAAGTATTATTTATTAAGTGTTTATTTTTAAGTTAAGGTTTGGGTTTCGGAATTTGTATTTTTGTTATTTATCAAACATTATACATACAATATTATAAATATAATAACAATATTTAAAAAATATTAAAAACATGTTGATAAATTTCCTAAAAGTATTGATTTGTAAGTATTGATTTTTAAAAGGCAACATCTTTCATTTTATTCATATTCAAATTATTCATTTTCATTTTCATTTTGTTGTTTTAAACAAATTATTCTTAATATAAGTTATTTATCTATTTGCATTGTATCACAATCACATCAAAGACACACTGAACGCTGATTAAAATGACATAAAGCTCATTTTTAATACATTTTAATTTTTGACTTTAGATGGTTGCCATAGCGCCCCCATCAGGAGACCTGTCCCCATATTTCAGTGTAAATCAGTTGGATCTTTGTTGTTGTTGTTTATGAAAGAGCTAAATGTTATTTTTGTTTAACTAAATAAGGAATGAGCAGTAAATCCAGCAGGTCTGAGCCCGTCAGTTGTCTGACAGCTCGTCTCCGTCTGGAAAACTTTAGGTCTTTAAAAATTAAAATAATGTCCTTCCAAGCCTCCTAAAAGGATTGTTCAGATTAACAAACGTGTTCGCCGTCTGCTTTTCCAGCTCAAACTCACATCCTGAGATACAGACACTCAGCTCAATAACAACAACACAGAGCAGGACCGACAGTTTCCTTTATTGATCTG